CTTGTAGCCTTCAGTCGCAGATTTATTTGTACAGTACAGTTTTCCTTTTATAATTCGCATAACATTCAGGAGTTGCTCTGTTCTGTTCATTTTTTTTCTTTTTTTTTTTTTTAAACCAAGTTTTGTGGCACTGGTTCTGATGCAGATGAGTAAGAGTTGAGTTTCAGGAGACTTTTTACCTTTTCGCTTTTTTGGTCGTAATTGGGTCCATACTGGTAGCAGTTTTCTTATCAAAAGTTGTTGGCATCAAATTGCGTGAACATCCCCTTCGTGTCGACCGTGAGTGGCGCAACCCAATGCCGGCTCATTTTTTTGATTTCCCGTTCGACCGCCGTTTCAAGTATTTGTAGCTGTTCATTTTTTTCAGCTTCATCTCTTTCAAACTGCTATTCAGTCAAACAAAGAAGGTACTCGTTTGCAAGATTATATTTTTGCTCCTTGTTGCTAGGTGACATTTAGGTGGTCATTAAATTACGAAACCGCCTATTAGCACCTATTTAGTGCTATCCCTGGCTAACTGGTAATTTGAAGGTCAAACAAACGAAAATGATGCTTTATTTATGAAAGATTTTTTTCAAAAATATTGTGACATTATATTAAGTCTTAAGCTACTTGAAAATTTCAAAACTCCGCCCTGAAAAGAGAGGCAAACGGTTTTACATTGGCTTCAGCTCAAAAAAAATTTCTTCAAAAACACCAAAACTGTTTAATTTTTTCCTTTTACAGTACCTCGACATTCGTTATGTCGCTATCCTAATCTTGTAGTAGATAATGACCAATGTCTTTCATAGTCTGAAACTGAATTTGGAGGAGTGTGACATACCTGATCTGTCCATTTGTTATTGTAAATAATCGGATAAATGATTTCTTGTACTTCACTTAAGAAAATCATTTTGAAAGTTCTAACCACTTAAGACATGAACTGCTTTATTATAGAATAAAGCATCCAGAAATTTGAGTAAATATTTTCAAATTTAGGTCTTCAAGACAAAAATACCGCCTATTTTCTAATATTTTCCATTCAGATTGACCGATAAATATTTTACCGATAAGTATCTGCTAAAGTGGTGACGTTTTCTTGTTGATTAATTGATATTTCTAAAAAGAGGAAGGAAGACCTATGTTGACTTGTTTTTTTCCTTGGCAGGCCCATTCAATATAATAAATTCCGTTGAGCAAAATTTAAATCACTAAAATCTGTATATATACTAAGGCATTCCGCTAGCTGCAAACAAAAGCGTCAAAGAGCACGTGGCTTATTATTGCCATATTAACGCGGCAGGAACGAAGCGTCATTAAATCATGTAGGGGTAATAAAAACCCACGTTTTTTTTTTTTTTCGCTCGTTCAACTAGTGTAGCGTAGTTGCAGAACTGTTGAGACACGCGTCCACAAGTCAATCATCATTATAATTGGTACATCAGGCAAAAGCTCATCAATTTCTTTCTAAAGACACTTTTGTAAGACTGCAGTGACCGCAGGAGGTCTGTCCAAATAATGTTGTTTATCTGTGGGACTGCTTTGCTACAATGCCGAGACGGGATGCACCTTCTAGGTTAACTCCTACCAGTTTGTTATTTTCTTTTTATCCATCGGGGTATTCCTGACAGTAATGCCTTCCTTACGTAAAGGGCGATATCTTCAACTGCATTAAATTGAAAACAGTTCATTTTTTTGAAGCAAAATAGATCAGCTCTTCACTCTGTCGATATGCTGATCAAAAACTCAAACGGAAACTACGAGACAATTGGGGAAGTTATGCTTCAAATACAAGAACGCCCACGTCGTGAAAAAACATGCTTTATTTCAAAGAAAAAAAGGTGCAGATGACAAAGAAAAAACGGACAACTCAAGTAGGAAAGCGGAACAGTTCCCCATGTTAAAAATCAAGTGGCAAATATCGAAAAACAGTAAGGTCTTGAAGTGTAGACGCAAGATGCGAACTGAAAGTCAATGTTTTTGAATGACAAAAAGACCCTCCAATGATTACTTAGATTTTCTTTGTACGACTCGAAACGCCAAATTCATTTACAAACCGCATGGGGCTGAAATCCCGAAAAGCATTTAAAGATCGCAGAAAATGAAATGCCACTATCATCGTTAAGAGATCATCACCATGATAACAGATATCAACTACCAAATTTGACAACACAAACAAGCTACTGACGGAGGGAAGGGATCAAAAAAGCAAATAAAAAGAATGCAAGCGTACACAATTGCAACAAATATGAATAAATAAAGCTGTGCTTGAGAAGAGAAAAACCTCTTCCTCTCACTCTTACCAACGGTGCAAAACATGGGGTTAAACTAATTATGCGCAATCTGACTTATACGATAAAAATTTGACTGGTAAAAAACAAAAGTGTCAACGAGTGGTACATAAAACGACAAAATAAAAAGAAACACAACAACCAGTCAGATGAACTTGTGACTTGAGAAATAAAGCGTTTCCAAAAGAAAAGTGAGCGAAATTCATACAAAAATCGAAAGAAGAATAGAAATATCAGAACAAAAACGGCAACCACAGGTGAAAACATAAAAAACGCTGTTCTCTCTGAAGATGTAATTGTAAGAAGCGAGTGAAAACATACTTTGAACGAAAACGAGCTCGGCTCGTGCGCAGAGAGATGACGCCTTACGGATGAACACAGCTGATCAGGCTTGCTAAAATGCACATGGATTGTAACGTAATAAACTAAAAATTAGTCGATAAAAACCTTTGGCAAACAAAATACTGACGAATCTGCCACAGAGGGTTAAAAACACACTTAAACACACATGAACATACATTTTACATTTTGAATATACTTTCCTATAAGCTCGCAACAACAAAGTGAAACTTAAATACATTAAAAATTCATCTATCAAAAAACCTGAAAAGTTTAAGTCACCCCCCAAATCAGCAGCAGGCGCTAAAAAACTCGTTGACTATACAGATTAATTATTTTGTAGCAAACCCCTAATCCAAGATTAAGCTGAAAAAGAAAAAAGATCTCATAGTTGCAGCACAAAAAACACACCATGCCCCGTATTGCGTCATGTAAAGGAACATAATTTCCAGAAGCAAACTAATATTTATTAGCAAAATGATTTAGCGTCACAGTGGGGCAAAACCTCTAGTTAAGCGAATTACAAACATTTAAATAGCAAAAAACGCTTAAGATGGATGAAGTTAGTGGTAAACAGATAATCAATAACGACAAATGAGTGACTTGATCTCACATTGAAAGCAGATTAACAGTAAATTATATAAACATTCAAATTTTGACATCCTGTAGTGCTTATGCAAAAAAAAACATGACTCAAAGACTTGGAAAACTGAACTATTCAATAATGAGTAGTTTCTGATACTGGAAACTGAAGAAAGAGAATTAGTAAAACAAGACAAAGACCTCAAAACTGCAGCGACCTTCTGGTCGCAAGTCTAACTAACCTAACCCCAAGAAACTCACAAAATTTACTTCACAGCAAATCCCACCCTTTCATTTTCGCAGTAAAATTATCTTCAGAATATCTATAAAAACAGAAAAACTATATAAAAAAGACCAAACTGGCAGGTTTGAGATGTAAAGTACCAAACCATAATTACAAAAAGGCAGCCGCAAAGCGTCATAAAAAGTCCTTTCAAATTTATGTAAAGCGTTCTGTGACCGGATAGCTCAGAAAAGCATACATTGGAACGAACTCTTGGCTCGGTACGGATTCATCTTGTCGTTCGCGAATCCGTTGACCAATACATCATCTCTTTCATACTCTCGAGTATAACTGAAAAAAATTTCCTTAACCACACTGATCGCCCCCTAACAACCATTAAGAGCTATCTAAATTATCTAAATTTTCAAAAGACGTGACGAACTCAACAATCTTAGCACTCATTCAAGTAAAATGACGACTGGGATAATCAAAATAGGAATAGTTGTAGATTTATATAGAAGTTGAAAAAACTTTCCCCTCCTTAGTCTGTTAAAAAAAACCCTAAGCAAACCTCAGTAAGTCATTAGCGGACTGCGATACTAAACCACGGCGAATATTCCGTTCACGGCGCAGTTGTTCAACAATTTTACGAGCTTGTTGAACTGTATGTAAATCTCTGCCACTCATAATCGGAAACTACTCTGCAAGGAAAAAATAACAATAATAACTGTAGTTGCTGCTGTATCAGGAGTATATTATCTTCTTCACGACCAAAACCGCTTTATGCACAGAACCAAGTTCTTAAAAATAAAGAAGATTTAGCTGTAGAAGTTTAATTTACAGTTCGTGTACGCGTCGCATCGCTGGCGATATTAGCTCCACCCATTAGTAAATAATTTTTTGGCAATTTCTTCACCACTATAACAGGGTTAT